CCTACATTGTAGCATAAACTTCTATGCTCTTTATTTATCTCCATGTTTCTTATTACCACAGTGAGCTGCTTTATCATGCACTCAGCCTTATTAATGAATAAGGGGATGCAACTTCATTATCAGATGTTCATTAGTTTGACTTGCTTTTGAGATACTTTTTTTTGGTGCTGATTTTGTCCTTCTGGTATTCAGGTATTTGGAGTTGTTTGGTTTGGTTTTGGTTTTGTTGGGTTTTGGAGTTTTTTGGAGAGGAATGCCTTATACAAAACATAATAAGTGAGGATCTTTTAAAGGGACAGAAGGATCTTACAAATGATGAAGGCCTGAGGAAGTGTTGGGGTTTTTTTGCTTGTTCTTTACAACTGTTTATATAGAACAATCTTAATTTCCATAGTGTTCATAGGAAACAATTTGCAGAGCCCCAAAGTTAAAATTCCAAGCAGCTCTGTCACACTTTGTAGTATTTTTACATTCACTCTTTGTAGTAGTTTTACATTCACTCTTTGTTTTTACTCTAGAATAAACCTCAGCATTAAATCTTGATGGAAAAGAGCCACCAGCACCAGCACCTACAAGAGGTGATATCATGAAAAAAAGAACACACACGGTGCCTGAAGCAAGCTGGATGGTGGAGCATTACCTAGAACTACAGCTTGCAGGAAAAGTGTAACCATAGCCTTCAGTTCAAGAAGCAATTCTTGCTTCCTTTACTAGGTTAATTAGGTAACAGGTGGACTGTGCTGTTTTGCTTGCATAACAACCTGAAATAAAGAATGTCATTGCAACTACATGCTTTGTCATTATTGTAAATCCTTTCCTTACTCTTCTTTAACAAAACAGATTTTAGGGTGTTTTTTCTAGGTTTCCTCTCAAAGATATTTCAGAAAAGTGATCCTTGTGTTTTCTTGTTTGATTACTCTTGTGACCAAGCCTACGTTCAGTTCTCAGGAACTAGGAACATGGTTGTGAAAGGACTTTCAGACAGGCTCCAGAAGACTTCAAGCAGACTGCTTTCAGTCTGCTGAAGTCATCAGAGGAGGGGGACAGTTTGAAACACAAATCACTATTTAGCCCATTAACCTGCCAAAGAAAAACATTTTTACACAACTGTGGCTGCAACACACAGAACTACCTCTGAGTGTTTTCATGGCTTGCAGGTGCAACAACTAGTCATTTATCTGCAAATTTTGTCTGCAAGGACAACAGTAAGTAAAGAACATACGCAGCTGTGTCCACAAGTAAGTTTGCTTTTGACAAAACCTTGGAAGACAAATTAGAAACACAAACGTATAAACAACTTAACTTACCTATTTATTTCTTGTATAAGACCCAAGTGCTTTCTACTGCGTGGCATCAATCACAGCATTCCTTGTTTGGTATCCCTACTGTTGGAGAAAAGAGAGCAGGATGGGTGCTGCACAGAACAAAGATGCTGGCCCTCCTCAGAGACTATGGAGCCATACAGAGATAATGTAAAATACAGGGAATGCACCAGAAGAACAAGGAACCCCAAACCAGTTCAGGAATCCATCCTTGTCAAGGAACGTAATGCTGACAAATTTAATGAAAAAAAATAACCAAACTAAATCCATTGCAGCAAGAGAGAAGTCTCCATATCCTGGAGTGCCTGCTATAGACAAAGCAGTTGTGTGATACTGGAAGAGAGGATAAGCAGCCCTAGATTTCCATTTTTTTTCAACTTCTTTTCAAACATTATTTGCTCTCTTCTAATTACACATTTGTAAAGTCATAAAGAAGGGAACTCCAATGTCTGATACCCCATTTGTAAAATTGAATAGAAGCTATCTAAATGCATCAAACCAGAACACTGGTTTATGTATGTAGATGACCAATATCTTGGAAGGCAACAAAAAAGCCACCAAATATTACAATCAAAACACATCTTGGTTCCAAGCCAGCATTCGGTTTCAGGTTTCAACTTCTGCACTTCTGTTTGACCAATAATCCAGAAAACCAGTGAAGATAAAAATAGCTTAAAAAACCCAAGTAGAACCTCCCCATTATGAGCTTTTAATAGCACCCTGCAACAGGAGACATAAAATAACAATAAATAAACTTCAAGCTACACATTGGCACACAGCTGATTTTGAGAGCTTTGTAGTCCTCAAATATTGCTCTTATTATTGGTGGGAATTGCTAAGAGAAAGAAAATGGGGTCAGTAACAAAAACTGTGCTGGGCAAAAATGGCTGGTAACGAAAAAAAATCACCACACGGTGGCTCCAAACGCAGAGGCTTTTGAACAGAGTTGCATTTAATGTTCATACAAAACTATGGCTACAAAACAAGTCAGCTAGCTCTGCAGAAGGAGTGAGGAAATATAGCAAACAGAGCTCACCCACTTAATCTAGGCAACACAGAGGTTACTTGCTTTGATATACTTTGTCTGGGTCAACTAACACGTAAAAACCGGGTCACTGCCCTCTCATCTGTGGTTTGGAGAAACCTCTTTAGATTGTGCCCAAAAGGATATTCCAGAGCACTACAGCAAGGAGAAGAATGGAAACCCACTTCTTAGAGTGATGGCAAGGAGTGGAATAAAAGCAGCTCTCACCCATACACTCATTCAAACCACTCATCAGAGTGGAAAGGCTGCAAGCAAATTAAAAGTAACTTAAACAATACAAAGGATTAGCTCTTAAAAGGCCACAAAGGATTAGTTCTTAAAAGGCCATTATGAATTATCATGCATAAGTGCACTGTTACTATGCACTCAGCTTTAAATATATCCTGGAAGATTGTAAAATAGACTAATCAATGATAAAACTGTTAGCTGTCTGCTGGCACCTCAGCTTTTAAAGCTCTGAGTTGCAAAAAAAAAAAAACAAACAAAAAAAACCCCTATTCCTAGGAGGTTTCTTGTACCTTTTTTTCAGGACTTCTGATACCAGAAACACAGTGTTGAGAAACACAGTTCTTACTCTTCACAGACATCTTATTCTCCTCTGCCATCTCTACTCCCACACCTACTGCAGAGGAAAAACACCACAGAGGTGACCAGAGTAATAGCTCTCATGACAGAAACTAAAGACACCTTTCCTTCCAGCTGCACTGCTTCCACTGCAACGTTGTGCTCTTTTAAATCCACCACCCCATGATGAAGCACCATCTCCCTAAGCAACTGTATGATGAAGCTTGCGCCGTTAACTACTAAGACCCTGCAGCACAGCCAAGATGTTCTTTATAATGCATTTATACTGGAAGAACTTCCAGGAAAATTAATGGATGCAGTAGGGGATGTATCCTGCCATAAGGTTTCATTACACAGAGCTAGACGGCAGGGACAAGTTAATTTTTTTGTTAGAACAACTCACTGAGGGAGACTTGTGAAAGTGGCAGGTAGAAGACTGGATGCTGAAGCAGCAAAAACCAAAATCCAGTTCCACCCATCTTAACTAAAACCCAGGAACTACCTCAGTGACCAGCAGAAATGAGGAGTGGGTGAAGAACAGGCTGCCCTCTGCTTTGTTAGCTGTAAAGACATGCAGCATGTGGATACTAGTGACAACTCACAACACCTTACTACACATGCACAGCACAGAGCAGAGCAAGCATCAAACCAACAAGCACACTTTTCCTCCTTGGAGTATAAGCTTTTTCAGATGAAAGAGGGATGCAGAGTGGTTTTGCTGGCATGCCAGTATCTTCACATCAGTGCTGGAGTATATGAGAGTACTGGAGACAGAAACAGCTAGAGACTATGGCTAAGGGCAGCACTGCAGCTACTTTGTACTGTAGGAAGAAATTTAGAGTGGACTGGCAAGAGGCAAGGGAATGTTCTTTGCCTGAAGTATAAGGTGCATGATAATGCTGTCTTGTTCAACAACAGGCTATAAATTATTCAGTGGGTATTTCTTCCCGTGACCTGATAAAATGCATAGCTCAGGGCCAGAAGTTTCACTCTGACGTTGCAAAAATTTCCAGAAGGAATCTGATGCAAATTAACACCACAAAACAAGTGCTGCCATTACAGCACACATTAAAACACTACTTAGAAAACAGCAACCCTCTCCTGGAAAAAAAATAATAAATAATTGTTGTTTATTCTAAACCATGAGTAAAACCAATAATTAGAACACCAGTGAAAAAGCTTCTCTCTACTATAGGCAAACTACCAATTAACAACACACCACAAGCATCCTCCTCCACCATGACAACACTAAAGGACGTCTGAAGCTTTGTTTCAGGTAATTCACAAAGGACAGAGCCAAACTCAAGTTCACAGTGAGTCCTCAGCACAGAGCTCACTAGTATCAAAAACTACCTGGGTGCAGGCTCAGTTTAGGAAGATTCTGTCATCCAAAGCACCCAAGCTAGGTTTTGTACCCAGCAAAAGGTAAGAGAAAACAGAAGTAAATTTGCCTCCTTGATTCGCTACCAAAGGCTGTCCTGTTTGGCCCAAGGCTCACAACATATAAGCATCAATAAAATTCCATTTCAACTGATTTCATGGTAATTTTAAAGCTGTTTCCCAATTCAACCTAACATGGTATACATACAGACATTCCTTTCAGAAAAAGAAGAAAGGCTTAAGTTTATTTTCTGTTCATTGACTCCTAGTCACGTTTTCAGCAAACAAAACACACCCAAAAAGGCACAGGGCTCTAAACAACGTACCTTTAAATAAACTAAAAATTTGATTGAATAGGATAGGGGAAAGAATTAAGTTCCACAGAAGTCAAGTCTGAAGTCCGTCTAAGGTGCTGAATTTCATCTGTCTGAAGTGGACAAAAATGACAAGGGCACAACAGCAACTGTGCTTTTACTTAACTTTTTAATAGGGATGGATACAATTAATATACTGCAAGCCAGTTAACAATTTTCACTGAAATCTTATTACCTTCCTGAATAAATTAATGCTCAGCTGAACAAAAAAAAAAGCATGAATTAAGATACTACAAATCCTTCGAGGAACCTTTCCACTGCTACAATTACTGCTTTCACTGATTCACACCCAAAAACGTATGATGATGACTCTTACTCTTATTTCTCCAAATGCCTGTACTTGCAGCACCTGCAATACTTCAACGGTGACTCATTTAATGACTCAGAGTCCATTATCAGGTGGGCAGCTCTTTGGTAAAGGTGTGGCAACAGACTCTTTGCTTTCTGTCAGTGCTCGCGGCTGATGGACAAAAACACTGAACTTGACCCCTTGGTTAGCTGCTGCCCTCACAAAACCACTATTTGCAGTCATAGTGATGGCTTTTAACGTGTCTCCTGTCCCAAAAATGGTTAAAGAGCGGCTGTTGATTTTAGAACTAGCCACCAGTCCCAAGGCACGGTCAGACGGCTGATCTGGCACCACGTGAATCCTCTTCACCAGCAACGCAGCTCGCTCCTTCTCCCCAGGCCCTCCCAGCGTTTCCAAGATGGACTGGAAATCTCGGACAGCAGATTCACAGGCAAAGAGCTCCTTCCCCTCCATGAACTCCTCCAGCTGAGGCAGGACTCTCTCTCTCCTTTCCTGAGCTGCTTGCTCTGTCAGCACTTTTTCTTTGAAGATGAAGTAGCAGCCACCATAGCTGAGGGCAGAGACATAGGTTATTAAGGTAGTGATGTCCAGGTTAACTCTATTGCACACGTTTACTTTGATCTGGGTAGGAAAAGCAATGCTGGCCACCAAATTCTCCCGGTCTACTCTGGTCACCTGCAGGAGTTCAGGGCCTTCTTCGTCTGATTCACCGGCACTAAGGTGCTGGTTTTCCGCAGAGGGTTCTGCCATTGAGTTCACAGCCACGATGTCCCCTCGCACAGATATTCCCATCTCCTTGAGTGTCTCTGCCATAGGACTGGACACGCTGTTGTAGAAGGCGAAGATGATGTGGGGGTTGCTGTACTCCACCGGCTGCTGACGGCTCGCCTGCAGGAAGTCCTCTGCCTGCTCAATAACGCTCTTGTCGCCATACTGGCCCCTCCCCAGCCAGATGTTATGCAGGGCCTCTGCTTTCCGACCAATGGCCTTCACCCACGTGTGACCTCCATTGGCCACAACATCTACCACCAGGGTTTGTTTTTCCCCAAACCTGTCCTCGTAGGCAAAGACATGGAGGACGCTGACAACATCCTCCAGGTTCTCTGCTGACTGAACAATGGCTTGGAGATGGGTAAGGTTTGTACTCTGCAGGTGGGATTCCTTGATGGCCACCTTCCCCGCCTCCACCTTGCGCAAGAAGTTGAGCTCAGCCTTCAGTTTGCCACAGAGTTTTGCCCCACCTTCTATTCTCCTTTTCTGGGACTTGGAAAGGGCTTCTGCTCTCTCGATCAATTCTTTGGCGATGGCAATTCTTTCATTAAGCAGTGACTGCACAGACATGTTGGAAACATTATTCCTGTTAAGTGAAAGCAAAAGAGAAGATTGTTATTGCAGAGCCAAGAACAAAAACAACCAAAGAAGTCTTTGCAACAGCATACACTGGAGTTGTGCGGTAGACTTAGTGCAGCAGCTGTTGCTATTGTGAAGCACAAGCATCAAGAATCTTAGTGCAAATCCCACCAAAGAGTTCAGTTCCTTTCCTTCACCTCTGGGGGTCCAACTTACGGCCTCAGATCTCAGTCCTCTCACTCGTTCAAGCCTCCATTCACACCTTGCAAGTTTTTGGTTCTTCCTCATGTCTGTGAGTCCTTCACTGAGCTAGTCACTTAGAGAGATCTCAGCTCTCACGGGCCGTTTGCAAAAGTTGCCATCCAGAGCAAAATCAGAACCGCCGCAAGTGGGATAAACAAATTTTGCCTCTCCCTCTCACCACAGTTACCATTAATAACAGTTGCCCACAGTGCTTACTGACATACATAACAAATGTGAAGCCTGGGTCCCAGCAAGTATTTTAACACAGCACAGACCAAGGCCACTGATGATAGCACAGCTCTATCCAGCTGAGACTGCACAGCTCAGAGGACGAGCCACTAAAAAACCTCCTGGCAAAGATCCACCGTTACACAGCACCATGACAGACTACAGCTCATCATTCTAGAGCCAGGAGGACGCAGAAATCTCTCCGTTCTCTAGTTCTAACACAGATTTACCGTGTTGCATCTGTTAAGTCTATTCCTTCATGTCCGTACTACTTGAGAACGTTTCCCTGAGGAAAGTATGACTGGAATTACTTAACCAAACACGGGCTGGCTTTGAAAAACGCAGGATTCGATGCCGCAGCAAAAAAAAAACCCCACAAAACAAACAGCATTTTTATCACAAGCTTCAAACAGCGGAGATCACTATGCACAAGCTCAGCCACCGTCAGCATGACCTGCCACT